AGACCAAAACAGCCAATCAGATTTTTTCGCATTCAATTCTGTGATTGGCTGGTTTTGTGGCACAAATATAACGGTGTACAGAAAGAGTTGAGCTCTTTGGGGGGAAACTCCCACAGGGTGTTAATCTGGGACTCGCCACCATTTGACACTTAGAACTGAAGAAGCTTCTCGAATGAGAGGTGAAACGTCTTAAAGCAACTTAAAGAAGTCCAGACACTTTTTCTTTCCAAGCTCCTTGATCTACGATGACCTGGATGACTGAGAACCTTCACAGACTCATGCTGTGTCGATTTCTTCTGTTGTGCTCCCTAAAATCGCCATCCGTAGTTTCCCAGTGTTTTGTTATTAGTTTCCAGTTTCTAGATTTTGGTTCAGTTTTGTAACTGCTTTTTGTGTAATCTGTGCAATAAAACAGCCTCCTTCAGTTCATCCACGTGTTTTGAGTTGTGCACTTAGGTCTTTCCTCCTGCCTGCCTGTTTCATGAAATAAAATAAACACCTCCGTCAAAAAGAGGCTCAAAGAGAAAATAAGTGAGCAGCTCTATTTGTGTCTCAAAGTGATAACAGTATCTTATCTTCAGTGAGTGTTTTGCAGTTTCTACTTTGTGGTTTCTAGCCACAGCTCATCTTTCTACATAAATACTGAGGGGGAAGTACTGAAATAGCAATCAGGTGAGGACGAAGACTTAAAGGGGACTGCTGTATCTTCTTTCCAACCTTCTATTTTAGACTCAGATGTGTAGGTTAAATATTTGTTTTGACAATAGAAATGACAGCCATTTGCTGTTTAGTTAGCTCAATAAAATCAGTGGACAGCACCGAGAGATACAACTGAAAAGAAACAACAAGTTATGCAACATGCCTTAATTCGTATGTTACAGCACACAGTGAAAGTGTGTACTGATTAGAGACTGTGTAGTGACTTTGAGGAAACAGATCATACAAAACAAACTTCATTGGTGATAAGATCTTTACCACTAATAGTAACTGTTAATGGAAGCTGTATTTATTTTAACAGTGTGTAAAGTGCAGAAGAAAATCCATCCATCCATCTTCATCCGCTTTATCCGAGGCCGGGTCGCGGGGGCAGCAGCCTAAGCAAAGAGGCCCAGACCTCCC